CCTCCCCGCCCATCCCCACTCGCTTGCTCTTTCCCTCGGAAATACTCAACACACTCGATACGCTCGGGATTCGTAACTCGGTTATTTCGAAACGCTATTCCTTTCACGCACCGCTGCTCTTGCGTATCCTCCCTCGCCCACGCTACACCTCCAGTGTCTTCCCTCTCTCTCACTCTGTCGACAGTCACCGCCGCCAGCGCCATCCGTTTCCACCAGCCCCACCGCCGCGGTACGGCGCTACGGCTCCGCTGCAGACGACGTTTCCGCGTCAATGAACACGTAACAGGAATCTCATTTCAGCGGCCAAAGCCTCGGCTTACCACCTGATGTCTGAAATAATTAATTTCCTGGGAACGCGAGTTCTCTCGCGACCCGGCACGCACACCTCGGCTCGGCGCTCTTCATCTCTATTCGGGTCTACTCTTTCCACGTTCCCTGGGGCGCTTAGTCTCGTGTTATGATTTTATAGAAAAGGGTCTTTAACTGTTCTCGAAAAATAGTAAAATACGTACTCGTCGCTAATTAGCTACAAAACTAAGCTTGAAAGTTTGTAAGGGTGAAGTTACTTTCGGGACGACAATGTTTGATTTCAGGCAAGAAGCATGATCCCTCATATACAATATTTTTATATTAGGTATATATGAAAGAAAAATGTGTCCAAAATTATATTAACTCCCCTATGCGTATTATTACTATTATTATTACGAACATTATCATTATTATTGGAACATGAAGTTGTTATTCACGGTACTTGTTCTCCCTCTGTAATGTCTTTTTAGAACCTCACTTTTTTAGAACGTGTGAGTTAACTTACGTGAGAGGACGTTGCCGAGGAAAGGCTTCGGCGCGGACTGTGCTTGGTACCTGTCGCTCAGAGACACGCGCTGCAGACAGTGCTACGTGGGAAACGACATTCTATTCTTGAAAGAAAGACAATATAAAAACGATAGCGAATAATACACAACAAAAACGTACTGGATATATATAAACTTACTGAATGATAAAAACGTACTAGATATAATTCTGAGAGATTTAAAGTGAATATAATGCAAAACGTCCAACATGATAGAGAAATAAGCGCATGTCTTTCTTTATTCTGTTTCTCTTCAACTGGATGAAACTAAACTGTATTTAAATGGTTATATAACTGAAACCTCTTCTGGTAATGTGGTACCACTAATATACTCGTACTTTGCGAAGAATTGATAAAAAACAAATTACTTAATTTGTATCAAACCATATTGAAAAAACTCATTTCTTATGACTCCAATACTCACCTCAATTATATTTAACACTAATCGTCACTTCGATTTTATTATCCTAGACTGGAATATTACGCAGTTCTCTCAATATTTTTTGCATGTGTTCTTACACAAGCCTATAAAACAAGATAAAGCAGTTTATCAAAAATAAATTGTGTGACAATCATAACTAGAGGCATCTGGTGAGATGACTATCCACTTTTGTACGCGTGAAACTTCCCTGGCACACAGGAATGAGTCCCTCACACGCCTGGCCCGTAATAAACTGGCATATTTCCTCACACCATCTAGCTCTCGGATCTGGAGGGCGTAAACTTCCACGTGCTGCGATTAATTACCTCGTTGTAGACAGAAAGGCAGCGAGGTGGATACTGGTGGAAGTAGTGGTGACGGTGTCGGTGGAAGTATGGGCGGTGGAGTGGCTATGGTGACGAATAGGGGAGGTAAGAGCATGAGGGCAGAGGGGACCGGAGAATGACGGGTTGAGAGGCGCCATCGTGGTGGAGGTGGTTACGACAGCGGAACGTAAGGGCAGAACAAGCGATGGGGACGGGGCGGATGTAACTGGGTCGTGAGGACAGAGCGGTAGGGACAGAGGGCGGAGCGTTAAGACTGGGAAAGGAGCGATAAGGATGTGAGAGGGGGATTGAAATGGTGGCGTGACGAGAGCGACACCAAGAAAGCGGCAAAGCATCTCCCGTAGCAGCGAGGGCTGCGAAGGCGATGACGGGCGCTAGGGCAGCGCGGGCGGCAGGGGGCGCAGAAGGCAGCCAGGGAATGTAAGCGGAAGGAGGCGTGATGCAACGCGCGCCCTCAAGTGGATTAGTATCGACCTGCCGCCCCCCCCCCACGCACCCGCTCCGGGCACCTTCCCCGCCACTTGACGCCGAAGACGTCGCCACTGAAAATTATCCCCTGGCCTCATTCTTCGAGAATGACGGGTTGCTCCACCAAGATTTCTGCTCGTGCGCGTTGAAGTTTCAGACGGCGGTAGAGAAGGAAATTGTTACAATCAAGAGCAGGAACTTGCTTCTTGAACCTATTAATTAAATGTCCTACTGTAACTTCCCGAAAGTAGCTGTTAATATCACAATTAACACATTTTTTCAGATTAATGAATATATTTTCATAAATCTTTAAAAATTGGACATATAACTACTTCAAATACGTCAATTTCAATTAACAATCAATTAATAATATCAATTAATTTTATCTGCCAATAAAAATATCAATAAACAATTCAATCGGAGATCAAGCCACCGCCATTACGCGAAGTCTGCGCCTGTGTGAACAGACGGCAGGAGGTGCTCAGGTGACCGAATCAAGGCCGCGGGGGAAGGGCAGCCCAAATCGAGCTAGAAGCCGGATATATGCAGAAACGGTCTAAAGCGTGAGATTGGGCGCAGACGGCCAGCACTCTTAGGTGACGGGAGCGGGAGTGGATAAAAAAGAGGTTGCCCTAAAAGCTGTCCTATTTCCTTCACCACCACCAATGCCTCTGCTGTCCCCGCCGTCACCTTCGTCAAAGTCGCCGTCTCCATCGCCACCAGCCCCAGCACCTCCACGAAGAAGGTTTCTCGCCTTAATTGCCAGCTGCGATATGGGAGGTCGCCAGGGTGGTGGGCGGGCGATGAGTGCAGGAAACTGCGGGGCGAAGCCAACGGGGAAGGAGCATGGGCGAGAGCCGAAGAGCAACAGAGTGGCGCACAGTGACGGGCAGTAGCAGCAATGCGGGCGGGTGGCGCTGCCCGCATGTAAAACACGGCCGTTAGCGCCGCTCCATTAGTATGTGCGACGGTCGGCAGCGGCTCTTAATACGTCCCAACTCCGACAGAGCTCACGCCGAAATGGGAGAGCGATGAGAAACCCAGAGACGAAAAAAACGGGTAGGATATAGAACCTCCAGCACAGAGTAGAGAAAAACGAGGCAAAACATATCAAGAGGACGAAAAATAAAATGACGTCGAGAAAAACAAGGCAAAACCTATGAAGGGGTCGGAAAAGAAAATGATATTCAGAAAAACGATGCAAAACCTATGAAGGGGTCGGAAAATAAAATGATGTGGAGAAAAACGAGGCAAAACATACGAAGGGGTCGGAAAATATATTGAAACGGAGAAAAACGAGGCAAAACATGTGAAGGTGTCGGAAAATAAAATGTCAATTTTATGAATGTCAATGAAACAGATTTCACCCATAGATAATAAGGCAAAGAAATATTTTTAAAAATATAAATTAAGATTCAGTGTTATAGATAAAAAGCTGCTAAAACAAGTAATTTTCTAAAATTAATTTTATGGAAAAAATTGAGGTGATACCGCTTAACACGAGTGACGTAAAAATATTCAAATCGATTTTTTCGCATCATTTTAGCACATGATTGAGATGGTTCGCGTCTCTGCATAATCTGTCTGCCATAAATATTGGACCTCTCCAAGTTGTTGTGTAGTTTATTTTAAACCTTTACTCGGTCAATAGTTTTGAGTAATATTCACTATTGCGCAATATTATCGATGGTGTGACGACTATATGAATAACATATTAAGTAATATTAAAAATCTTGATTTTAACTGAGGATATATCAATAATATTAAAGAGCTGTTTCCTCTTGTGAGAGAAGTGAGGATATATTGAGTCAATCTTGTGTCGTGCAGAACATTGCTTCAGTTCATTACTGATCTTTGTTGAAAATTTGACGTTTTGTTAGTGTATCCTCTCAGACAGCTAGACATCAAGACCTACACTCTTCAATTTCTGCTTTTTTAGACTTTACTTCCGGGAATGCATACTATGTAATAGATATGCTAGCGAATTCTGCATCATAAATGAAGGATATTCAATGGGCGACTATTATAGAATTCCAGATAATTTATCTTGTCAAAGAAACCTAACTAAGTCTAGTCCAGATTAAGACAAACCCGAAATTACTATCGCTTATTTACGTACATTTATTTTAAAGTGTAAGAGATAATCAGGTTTTAGGCAACATTTTTGAGCAATAATACTGAACGTGATAGGTCCCATTTTCTTGAAAATTATTGGAACTATCGAGCAACGAGAAAACAACGTGAAACATGAAACACCACCTTCATTGATTACAGTTTATTGCGCAATGTAACCACACAATATTTTTAAACAGGTCTTTTGTATAAAAACCGACATGTATGAGAAAATGGAACATTCTTAAGCGTACGTTTCGCGTAGACAGGTTTCGGTGATGTCCTGGGCGGTGCGGGCGTGAGCGAGGGCGCGAGCGCGAGCGCAGGCGTGGGCGTGGGCGTGGAGCCCCCCGGAGGCAGTTCGCAGCTGACGCTTTGGGCGCCGACGGGCAGCAGAGGCGGCGGCTGCGGCAGCGCAGGTTCCAGCCCACAACGAAGCCGGGAAGTCGCTGACAACAGCACGGCAGAAGAGAATAGCATGAGCTCACGGTTGCAGCTCCCTACTCCACAATCAACTGGGGAGGGGGGTAATTTTAAGATAAAATTACAGCGTGTATGTCTCCTGAAGAAACCCTACAAGGATTGCTGCATATTGTGGACCGAGTGTCGCGCACCCCGTGTCGCGCACTGTATCGCGCATTCTGTGTCGCGCACCCTGTGTCGCGCATTCTGTGTCGCGCACCCTGTGTCGCGCACCCTGTGTCGCGCACCCTGTGTCGCGCACCCTGTGTCGCGCACTCTGTGGCATGTTTCTTGTGTTTCCAGCGTCGTGCATGATATGTCTTGCATCCTGTATCGTTTTTCCTGCATCCTAATCGCTCTGACAATGTGTATCAAACCGACCTTCATTGTTTTCATCTTTTTAGTACAATGAATTCAAGATATTAAAAAAATCCGACTACGTGAAAAAGACGGCCATCTCAATTGCCAACAGTGTAGTTCAACATATTGCACTAATCGAAAAAAAAAGATACAAGAGCACTTATGCGTGATATAAACAAAATAAGTGGTACATTCAATTAAGTACACAAGCATTCTCGCGTTATTTGTGAATTTTGCTGTTTTGTTAACACAGATCTAAACAAAAATCTGACCTGCTCCATTTCAATATCCGATAAATTAAAACATTATCTAAAAATTGTTGCTCAGGCTTCATCTAAAGTCCCCAAAATTCAAAATATCCTATTGAAATTCAAGAGGGCCGACAGGCAAACGGATGTTTGTCCTAAACCAGGTTTTCGGAATAAATGACCCACAAATGTGGATTCTATTTATAAATGGTAACAAGAGTACCAAAATTATTTACTACATACACAAACCAATCCCCTTTTTCAGCATAAGCGAACTAGAATAGTATTTTTCTGTTGAAAAATCGCCTTTTCACTCACGCAATACAATACTTTCTATTTACTACGGACGTAGTATCCGCGAAAGTAAAAAAAAATGGCTTAGCCATTATTAATACAACAATGAGCATATTACAAAAGCACATACTATATACAAGCAAATATTTTTAACATCCCAGTATATAAATAATCCCTTGTTCTGAATTAGTTCTCATGTCCCCTGCCTTCTCACTTTTACCCCTATTTCAGTTTCAACTCATTCCCACTAACTTGCTTGATTGTAACTAACATGCTTGATTGTAAGAGTAGATCGCATCTAATGACCCATCAGAAAAAATGAGAAAATGGCACCCATTTGTTTAATTTTATTATCTAAAACATTTCTTCTGAAATATTATGATTGACTGTTGTAGCCAGAAACTATATGTGAATTCAAACGGATCTTCCTGACGAATTTTTATTTCATGTCGAATTTTCAAAAAAACTATAATGTACGTCATTAATTGAAATAGCAAAGAAATACATCCTATTTCAAAAATATGGTTTTCACTGCAAGTATTTCTCTTAAATTTAAGAATTAAAATGGTATTACTACATTCTCATATGACCATTGTGAGGTGTCGGCTGCAAAAAGCACCAAAAGAAGCAGTCAGTCTAAGCGATTCAAAGCGCCGTCAATCATGGCGGCTGCATCAATTCATCGGTGTAAATACATCAATCCGTGCACGGCTAAGTGAAGTCGGCGTGCAGCGCTCGCCCAGCCGCTGGCGGGCGCCGCGCCGGCCCGGCCGCCGCCGCCACATTCCCAACTCATTACTCCCGCCGCCACAATAGAGACAACATGCTAATGCAGCGGAAAATTTCTGGATGTTATCCGGTAAATATGATTCTCCATAACCAGCACGTTGTTACATATTCAATAGTCTTCGTGCAGCAGCGAACGTGCGTTGTTGGTATTTTGCAATCAGGGTCTTCAAATATTTACATAACAGGATATTAGAGGCCACTCCAACCATAAAACTAATTGCATGAACAGCGCTTTTGCGTTTAATATCGCATCGGCAGGATAAACCCCCTAGTTTTTACCATAATCACATGTACACGCAGCGATAATCAAGCATGAATATTAGCTAATTATGGTCATCTGATAACCTATTACAACTTTCAATCCATCTTTCTATTTTTCCGTCCTTGGCCCGGCAGAGCGCGCGGCAATATTTTAAAAGGCCAGCAACGCATCGCTCCCTCGGCACTCCTCTCCCCTCCCGCCCCCGCCCCCGCCCTGATCCCCGCGCCCGCGGCGGCCTCCGGCCGAACCCTCATTACGCATTGCAATTAATTCCGGACTGCAAACATCGCCACCGTCCCTGCTGAATTATTCTCACTTCCATCAAATTGAATTGAATTGAAATTTTAACCGTGATTTCTACCTTACATAACAAACGATTATACTAAAAACGAAAATATGATTCGTCCAATTAAATTCGATGTAATTACCATGTATGACCGCCCCGATGTGCGCGCTGCGGCGGCCCGCTCGAGCCCCGAGGCCAAAGGTCATGTCGTTCCCCTAGTGGCTGTCTGTACCCACCCTCCCACCGCCACCGCGGAAGATCCGCGCCAGAAACTGTGGACTACTGTGAGCCTTTTTGAAAAAGGGCACACGTCATAATCATAAATAATAAATTTAAAACACCGAAGTGCCAGTGAATTGGCGTGAGAGTGATTTCAAAGTAATCTCAGTATTTTCATGGTTACACAAAAGATATCAGGTATATTTGAAACAAATAAATTTCAAAAGTTAAACAAAACGTAAAAATAGTGAAACAACTTTTAAATTGTGAGGTAAAACGAAAAATTCAGAACAATTCATCCTCAAGATTATGAAAATTTTGCAAGTATTTCCAAATATCGAGAAAACATGCTTAGGCCCTTCATCGGATTCATAATGTTAAAAATCGCAAGGTATAATGAATCGTACAAAAACGTATTAATTTAATACTATACACTAATTCAAACGCATTACTGAAATATTTATACCTTTCGACATTTGCATAATATTATTAAATGTGTGCTGTTATTTGAGTAGTTGCACATTTATAGTGTATATTTGTGACATGTGGTTTGCCGGAAGAGCGGTCCTGATTGCCCGAGCCTCGCCATATTAATAAAGGCATATTATTTATTATTATTATTATTATTATTATTATTATTATTATTATTATTATTATTATATTATACTATTATATCATTATTATTATACTATTATATTATTATTATTATTATTATTATTATTATTATTATAGTGTTCAAATATGTTTCGATATCACTATATTCATGCACTTGATGAAATGCACTAGCTTCATTAAGGAAAAAATAATTTATCCTGATCACCAATAAATCCGAAAACATTATTGGACAGAAAGACCAATGTTTACACTACATTTTATTCAAGGCATTACGTTCGAAATCATGTTTTCTCCACCTAAGAGTCATCATACAGAACTCAAGATGAATTCACATTTTGTTCGCATGCGTCCAATAAGTTTGTGAAAATACTAATTAGTTTCTTTGAAATTAAATTTAAAAATAATCTGATGTTTTACACATTTTCTCCATTTTTACTTTGATACACGAACAAGTACACCTGCTTGGTGCGGGAATGGTGGGAGGGGGGAGGATTCCTATATATTCTCATTTTTGGCATTTTTATACTATAGTGCACTAAAATCTATATTATACTTATATTTTCATATATTATATTATATTATATTTAATACTACAAGAAATCAAAGGAATGACGTCAAGTATTCTACATCTTCGAATAAAAATGTTCCCCCTAAACAATTTTACCAACAGGCATTTTCATAATTTAAAAGCCTATCTCACAATTTAACATAATTTGCAATTGCCAAACACACGAAAAATATGTTATTATCCAAAACACCCAAAACAACGTCAATACAACACGACCAAAAATATATATATTTCGATTACGACTCGGCCCAGCAGGTACTTTTTTTGCGGAAAACTCGCCCATCGGCTGTGAACACGAAACCACGTGAAATCCGTTCCATTTGACAGGCCTGCCATCAATGCTGCCAACGTCGCCGCAATGTACACGGCTTTCCATTTTTCAGCAGCGCAGAAAGCGGTTTGCGGTCCCGCGGGCTCTGATAACGCCGCACCCCACTGCCCCGCCCGCGCGCCCTCCCACGCCACCGCCCCACCTCGGGCACTTCCCTGCTGGCGCCGCACGATGGGTCGACAAGAGACAAGGATTCCGCCAAATACTCGTCTACATAGGGATCGAACATAACAGTTGAAATTAGACGAGTGTAATGCGCTTATTCGATACAGACGTGTGTCGTTTGGTAGAACAGTCCCTACTGAAGGTTTATAATGCATCCAAACAAAAGTATTGATACTGGACAAGTGCGCTCGTAAAATACAGTATATGTACAAACTTCGTTTATAGACTGATCTACTTAGGTTTTTAGTCTCAACCGAAAAACAACAAAATATGGTGAACATAGTGTACATCAGCTTCCTGAAGTATCTCGAAAGACCCAAGAAACCAATGAAGAAGGGGAAAAGAAAGACGCTGGACTAAAGAATACGACTATATTCTTTATCGCAGATTTTACACTTATTGTCGATAGACTAGTACTGATCTTCATTATTCAAAGTTAAAGACGATTCAGTATTGATAAAACTTGCAGTAATGTAAGTTAATCCATATTGCAAATAAGAATGGAGTAAAAAGGTATTTTATGAACCTACAATGCACCAGAAAAATATACAATAAAACGTTAATTTCGTTGAGTAGGCATTTACCGAGGTAGATAATCTAAATTAGAGTTTTCACATACCCTTTTCCATCGATTCGCATTCATGATCCAACCATGAAATTCTGTAGTGTTTCCGAGCCACAGATGTAGTATTTCCAGCCCACTGTGGCCCGCAGTCGCTGCCGCCGCCCGAACCATCTGCTGTCCTATTTATTAACTGCCCGCTTGCCCACCAGAGCGCGATCACGCGCGCTCACTCGCTCCATCCTGCTCCCCTCTCTTCCACCCCCTTGCCATCGCTGCCTCGTCACT